TATGTCAATTTTAAAATATTTGAAAATAATTACATCTGTACTGAATATACATAGATATTTTCTTGTTACTATTTTTCATTGGTACATTTTAGATGTACATAGTGATCGCATTCATCATAGGGAATTTGCACCCATGCATGATATATCTTGATTCTTCTTTTTTGCCCCAAACCCCCTCCCCTCCCTTCAACCCCTCTTCTACTCCTTATTTACAAAAGCTTTGTTTCCATTTTTTCTTCTTTTCCCCCCTCTCCCCTCCCTTGTTCCCCTTCCCATTTGAATATTTTATTTGTTATTTCTTAATATAGTATGACAACTATTTACATGGTATTACATTAGGTATTATAGTTAGTGTAGAGATGATTTAAAATATACAGGAGCATGTGTGTAGGTTACATGCAAATACTGTGCCATTTTGTATAAGGGACTTGAGCATCTATAGATTTTGCTTATCTATGAAGATCCTGGAACCAATCCTCTGTGTCTACAGAAGAACAACTATATATTTATTGTTATGTTTACTTCTTTATTAATTGTTTCCCACATTAAACTACAAGTTTCATTGGAACAGATTCTGTGTCTTTTGTCTGTCATTCACTGGATACCCAGCTCCTAGTTCTGAGTCTGCTATACATTAGATACACAGTAAACATTTGCTGCGTGAATGAGAAACTGGTCGAAAAACTAGTGCCTTGGGGGTGAGGATGGGAATAGGTGGAAGCAGATGAAACAAAAAAAGAAAGTATCCTCAAATGCTTAAGCAGGCAAATTTGGCCTCAGTGTTATGTCTTCCCTGAGTGTATATCTTTATCCTAAGCCTCCTCACACTGTGTGACTGACTGGCTGTGTCTGGTCTGCCACCCAGTATGGAGAAGCCAGGCTGAGGAAAGGGCAGTGTCGCTCCTACATTCAACCCCTTTCTTTGGAAGAAGGTGTCAGGAAGCACAGAGCCTTCCTTTGCCATACTTTGTATTTTGTCAGACACTTAATAACTGGTTTAAACAGAAATATTAGGCAATCACTTTGTCCTTTGTTTTAGGAACTGAGTGTTCCTTTTTTACAAGCAAGTAAAACCTTAAAGAGACAGTGAATGACTTACATAGAAACATTTATAAGGAAGTACTAACCTACCATCTCAAATCAGTATCTACTCTGCCTTACATGTTTTAAAATAGCATGTATCTCTTTCCTGATAATAAAAGTAAGGCTCATATAATTTTAAATAATAGTAAAATTATTTTAAAAGCATAAACTATGGAAATAAAAATCACATCCGTGGAACACTCCCTTTATTTCTAAATCATAAAAGCTAGTATGTCTGCTTTCATCTCTTACTTTCCTTGGAAACTAAAAAACAAAAGCCTCATTCATCTCTACTTTAATTTTGCCTTTTGAATTTATTTCTGGGTACCAAGATCAGCTGATTGGATTAGCCAGGTAATGTAACCCAGCCATTTTTTGCCTTTATCTCTTTGCAGACTGGAGGATAAATTGCAGGCTCCTTAATCCAGTGTACAAGGCCCCTCATTATCTGGCTCCGGTCCACCTTCCAGCCTCATTTCTCGCCACTTCCTTCCCTGACCCACTTAATGGGGAGCTTACTGAAGAAAGAGTATGGGCTCCCAAGTGTATTCCAGTGCTCCAGATGCCTTCTTCTCACCAAATGCTTCTGGGAATCCTAGGCCTCTTTCTTTTGTATATGGTGTGGACCAGGGAAAGGGGGAAGGATACTTCCGTGCTGGCTCACCACAAATTGATGAACTAGGAAATGAATGTAACTAAAGAGGGTAGGCTTGATTACTTGGGTCAACATGTAGAGAAAAGGAGCATCCTCAGGTGTTGGACAGTTTCACCTGTTCACAGATGTGTTGAAAAATGACCTGTCTGGTCTCCCCGAACAGACTCTGGTCAAGGATTTGAAACATTCTTTCACATCTAAAGAGTGACCTTTAGATGTTCCTGCTATGTAGCCTAGAGCTGCTCCCTGCCTGGGGTGGTGGTAGGTAGCAATGAAGTTGTAGAGGATGAGGATTTTCTCACTGGGGGCTCACTGGAAGTCATTGTAAACAAGTTCTACAGTAGAATAATAAATGTTCAACTTACCCTGGCCACAGGAAGTTTAATAGTAAGGGTACTTCTCCAACTTGGAGCGTCCTTGTTTAGCCCTAAGTTTCAGGGTTGTGTGATGTGGTAATGGCTATCTGCACTTGTGATGCTTTTTTAAAAGGACCCTCAGGAGGGCCAGGGATTTAGCTCAGTGATTCCGCCACCTGCCTCGCAAGCGCAAGGTCCCGAGTTCGATCCCCGGTACCAGACAAAACAAAACATAAAAGGACCCTCAGGAGTCTTACACTGACAGTATAACCTTAACAACTCTGACAGTCTTTTATTAAACTATAAATGGAATAAAATTGTATAGAGCCATACATGCACACACTCAAATGAGTGTACATATCACTGGTGAAATGTGAATAAGCTCTGTGGTTTGTACTCACACCAGTCTTCTGGTTTTTGTTTCATGCTGTGGTTAAGCAGGATGTTAACGAGGGAGAAGACTGGATGACAGGTGCCTGGGGATCTTGCTGTACATTTCTTTGTAAATTCCTGTGAATTTATAATTATCTTAAATGAGGGTGGAGGAGACTCAGACCTACTGAAGCATTTGATCTAAAACAGTCCACTGGAAATGGTCTGGAGCTAGATGGAAGATCTTAGGTAAAAAACAGTATATCCATGTCCAGGCTCAAAGCTATTCCTGAAAAAAAGGATAAAATGGGCCACCTTGGTCACCCTATTCAATATGGGTAGAGAGGCTATAAGGGTCTTCAACTCACTGAACAAGAGGGTCTCTTACCATCCAAATCAATCCCCAGCCCCTTTTCTAGAAACCAATAGATAAGGAGGCTAGAGAACAGGGGCCAAAGCCCAGGAAACATTGAATGTCATATACTTTGAAGACTGCCATTCTCAAACCATGTTGGCCTTATCCAGCACCACTAACTGCAGCCTAATTCAGTCATCCAGCAGTATGTATTGAGCATGCAACATGTATCTTCGCTCTTTTAAGTGTTTGGGATATGGCCAGGAACAAAACAACCCTGCCTTAGTGGAGCTTCTGTTGCAGTATGGGACGGGCCTGGCGCGGGGACAATGTAAGTTAACTGAAGAGCATACCATAAGGCGATAACTCATGGGAAGAGGAGGGAAGCCAGGTAAGAGGGACCAAGAACTCAAGATATGGGGGAAAGAGAAGTGTTGCTTGCTTCTCTGAATTCTTAAGGAATATGTTTGTACTGAAATCAGCCTTCTGTGCGAATTTCCTTTTCCTGCTCCTGAATTCTCTCCTCCACCATTCCTTTCTACTTCTTCCTAATACCTCTTTTCTTACCGCCACTTTTTATCTGTACTCCTAGGGATTGAACTCAGGGCCTTCACACTGTGCTACATCCCCATCCCTTTTTTTATTTTCACATTTTGAGGCAGAGCGTTAAAGATATTTTTTACAGTGATACATTCGTACCCTTTTTTATAGCAGAGAAATTTATAATAGCTAAATCTTGGAAACAGCCAGTATGCCCATCAACAGATGAATGGATAAAGAAAATGTATTTATACACAATGGAGCATGATCCATAAAGGATAAACTTGAGGCATTAGTAGGCAAATGGATGCATCTCAAGACTGTTAATGTTGGGCCAGGATTTAGCTCAGTGGTTCCAGCGCCTGCCTCGCAAGTGCAAGGTACTGAGTTCAATCCCTGGTACCAAAAAAAAAAAAAAAAGACTGTAATGTTAAGTGAACTAGACACCCAGGTTTAAATATTGCATGGTGTCTCTTATATGAGAAACCCAAAATATAAATAAAGGGCAAAATAAAAGATAGACAATAGGAAGTAGGGAGATATTTTTCAAATGGAAAGAGGAACAATAGATGGAGGAAAGGGGAAAAGGATTTTTTAAAAAGAATTGAAAAAAATGGAAATAGAGCTTTTGCACATGGGAAGGGGAACAAGAGTTGGAGTGACCAAGGAGGGATGAGGGGACAAAAAGGGAATTAAACTATGTTATATACATGTACAAATTCCCCATGATAAATGCAATCATCATGTACTGCAAACATGTACTAATAAAATTTTTAAGTCACTAAGTAGTAGTAGTAGATATTTGCACTACATAATGATTACATTCATCGTAGGGAGCTGGTGCGTGTACATAACACATCTCAATTCTTTTTCCCCCATTCCCTCTACACCCTTTTGTGATCATCAGATTCATTTATTTTATAAGTGATTATAAAGTTAATTATCATATATACAGATTAACAACTAGACATAGGCCATAAAACATGTAAGACAATTATACTAAATCAAGCTATACTTTTAGATACATTGTCCATGCTGGATATTTATCTCCATTTTGTATTATGGTCTTTGACTTTTTCTTCCATTAATTCTCCCTTTCTTATGTCTCTCCTTCCTTAATGTTATTTTTTCATCAGTGGTTCTGTCACCTTTTTCACTCTTTTATACCTCTGACCTTTTCCGTCTCCCCTTGCTATTTCTATTTTTCTCTTTCTCCCATTCTTGCTATCCATTATATGGCTTTCTTGTGGAGCTAAAGTTCATATGATTAGAGTTGATGTGCCTCGTATTACATTGCTCATTATTTGCATGATAAATCCTCTCTATCCTAACTGAAATCAAACTTTCTTCACTTAGCTAGCCTGATGTAGATGGAGAATAACCCTAATTTCATTGACTACCATATTAGAGATATAAGCCCCAGATACATGACCCCCCCAATATTTCTGAAACATGGAAGGATCCTTACAAGAATGTTCATAGCATTATTCGTGAAAGCCTAAAACTGTAAACAAAACAAATAACCACAAATAAGATAAATATTTGATGGAATACTGTACAGGGAGAATTAATGAATGTTGTATGCAATAACTTGGATGAAATCATTATAACCTTGCAAGAAGACAAGACACGAGAGAAGGAGAGAAAAGAAATAATTTCATTTTTTCCACTAGAAACACAGATTTTAGAAGTCAGAACAGTGATTACCACTGGAGCAATGACTGGGAGGGAGTACAGGAGGGCTTCTGGGGGCTGGTTATGCTCTGCCTGTTGACTTGGGTATGGGTTAATGGGTATGCCTGTTATGTGAAAGTTCTTCAAGCAATACATTATGATTTGTGTCCTTTTATATACATCTTGTGCTACAATGAAAAGTTTGCTTAAAATGAAAACCATGGTATAAAATAAGCTGGAAATATTTGGGTAAAAATTACAAGATTTAACTGAGAGATTTGTGAGTAATATTGTTTATCACAGTAATAAATCTACAAAAAATTATGTACAGACAAATGGAAGTGGCCCTATAGAGAGTACATCAAAATGGTGACTGATAAAAGTAATGGCAAACTTGAAACGTAGATTTTTTCATACATTCACTACTTTTTCTCAGAGAGGGCACATCTAAGTATAGTTTAAAAGGTAACTTTACACTTATTAAAAATATATGTAAATATTTCCACATTTATATGATTTTATTTTTTCAGTTGCTATTGAAATTCATATACAATACTGGACCCTTACCCAACAGGTTAAAAACTAACAAAAGAAAGCTTTAATTTCAAGTAAAATTTCCACAAACGATACAGAATTAAAAGTATACTTACTATTCACAAATATATCCAAGAAATAGTATTACTAGTGTGCATGTGAAACAAGTCAAACTGTGGTCTTCTGTAGTCACAAATGGACTCAAGATTTTATAAAGCTGTAGCTCATTGTAAGAGGGAACTTTGGTATTTTAATTTTAAAAAAGGAACAGTGCATATTTCCTATCTTGAACAGAGGTATTCATCCACTTTCTATAAGACTATTACATTCACTCTTTAAAGATATGATCTGTTGGCATTATAAATAGGTATCATGGGGCCGGAGATTTAGCTCAGTGGTTCCGCTGCCTGCCTCACAAGCACAAGGTCCCAAGTTTGATCCCCAGTACCAAAAAAAAAAAAGGTATCACTATGAAAATGAAATGGCATTATAATCCTGGTTGTCCCATGACCAGATACAACCAAAATTCAGCATCAACTAATTTGATACAATCACTGCTTATCTTCTTTCAGATGTAGACACATAGTTTCTGATTATGTTTAAGAAGAAACCAGAAATAAGACATTCTAGCCTCAGATAGCCAGGTACATTTCAGGATTTCACACACCTGTGCCAAAGGGACATACTGTTCTCAATAAAGCAAGACATTGTTTCAACTAAGGACCTGGGTACTTATTTTTCTCTAGAAATAAAGTACAACTTTATGTAAAATATATGGGAATAGTCCACATGACCAAAATATATATATTACAAAATACCTAGAAATTGTTGGCACTCAGAAAAGATTAAATAAAGATAAGGTATAAAATTAAATGTTCTGGCTTAAAATATGATTTCTATAAGTATATATTTCCAATGTGTATATTCCAAACCAAATTTTTCTCTTGATATTAAGTTCATTTAGAATGTTTTGTCTTTAAAAATTTATTTTAAATATAGACGACTATAGAATATTTTTTAGATTTTTTTTTTAAAAGTCAGAATTCAGTTAAAAATTATTGGGCTGGGGATTTAGCTCAGGGGTGCCACTGCTGCCTGCCTCACAAGTGCAAAGTCCCGAAAAAAAATTTTCTTTTTTTTTTTTTTGGTACCAGGTAGCGAACTCGGGACCTTGCGCTTTCAAGACAGGCAGCGTAACCACTGAGCTAAATCCCTGGCCCAATACTGCTAAATATTTAGAGAAACATATAAGCTCATTTTCTTCACCCTTGGTCCCATATGGAAATTGTTTTTGCTTAAAATAGCAGTTTTCATGTTAGATGTTAAATAGACTATACCTATATATACATACCTTCACACAATGATCATTTCTGTAAAACTAAGATAAATTTAAACTGCGTTTTCCAGCTAGTCTGTTGTATTTTCTTTTAATTGTGATCCATGATTATCACATTGAAATTTTATTTCTATAAACTATGAAAATTTTCTTACCTGCTTCACTTGTCTGCATCAATGTTTTTTAAAATAGCCAGGTTCTATATAGCTTTTAAGTGAACCATTGCCAGCATCAAAGAGATCCTGAATTCTGGTTATACATCTGGTCACATATAACAACACTTCATTATTTTGAGACCGGGTCTCACTGGCTATTGCCTCCTGCCTCAGCCTCCCAGAGTATTGAGATTATAGGCCTGTACCACTATGGCTGGCACAACACTTCATTATTACGTATTAACTAAACTTTCATTCTTAAAACTGGCTTTTTTACCAAAAGTGACTTAAGGCTTTTATTGGTAAGTGCATTAATAACTGTATTTCAGCATTCATTAAATGTGGATAGCGAGTCTGTCAGAGACTGATTTTTCCTGTGATGAGTCCTTCCAGCTCAACTGTCTGTGGAGGCCATCAGGTCAGAGCGTCTTCCATCTGAACAGAGATAGCCCAGTACCTGGGGGCACAGTTAGCAAATCTGCCTCTGGGGGACCAGCAGCATATTATAACAGCAGCACATCCTGGACCTTGCTAATTTGCCTGGGTAATTCTCTTCACCATTTTGCATATTTTAGAGGTAAGCTGTTGATTTTATAAATAAAGCATGAAAATAATCTTAATGCTTTTTTGTTCAATGATTAAGATGTGTAAAAACTCAGAGATTTAAAAATGTAATAGAAAAAGAATGAGCATTTCAAGTCCAAAGAAGTAGTCAATGCAGAAAATGTTTGCCTAGGGTGTCATCAGCAGGTCAGTTCTGTCTCGCACTGCTTGCTTGCAGTGACCTCCTGAGTCCACTTTCAGGAAGCCAGGCTACGCATGGCCTGTGGAAACAAAGGGAAGTCAGGGTGTCAGTGCAACTCACGTCTCCTTAGGTCTGGATTTTTAAAATGTTCTATAACACAGGTTTCTTGCTTTTACTCATCTTAGGTGTATATCAGCACAATAAAAGCAGGGATTAAAAACTTAATTTTGACCCTCATCATACCTTAATTGGATTCACCTAAAAGCAATAATCACTATTCATTGAGCACTTACTATGTAAAAGACACTGTTGTTATTTCACATGCATTCTTTAATTTTCACAACTTTGTGATATTATTTCCATTTTAAACCCAGATGCTAAAATGAAGGAAGGGTAAGTAATTTGCTCTGTGTTGTACAGCCAGTAAGTAGCAGAATTAGGACTAGTCCCCAAGTCTGTTTGGTTCCAAAGTCCATGAAACCACTGTACTATACTCCTTCACTGCCTCTAGAGGCCCTACGGAATTCTCTGCATGCCTCTACTGCCTTATTTTAATGTAGAAGTTTGAATGCTATTCTTTTAACATTTTTACTGGGACCTGGAAATAGGCACAGTAGTAATGCTTTTCAGATTTGCCTATGAACAGGTTGGGTTCAGGAGTAAATATGCTAGATGATGGCTTCGGAATACAAAATAAACCATTAAGATACAATCTAGCAGAAATGCATGTAATATTTCATTTGGGTCAAAAACTAATTATAGAAATTTATATGAGAAGTCAGTAGTTGCCAATGTCTGCAATCTTCACCCAAAAGTTAAATGGAGGGCTTTCTGCATGGGTTAGTACGTTATACTATGTAATTTCTAAGAAATATTTCAACTTTTTTTTCTTTTTTGGTTTTGTGAGACAGAGTCTCACTCTGTAGTTTAGGCTGGCCTTGAACTCACTACATAGCCCAGGCCGGCCTCAAACTCTTGGTGATCCTCCTGAGTGCTGGGATTATAGGTCTGTCCCACCTGGAGCTGCTCAACTTTAAAACTCTGTGATCTTCACTTGTTCCCATTTTACTCAGGGATGAAGTCACAAAGTTTACTCAGATACTACAAGTTCAGTCAAGTTTCCTAGGAATAATGTGCTGACAGAAGAGCATCTAAAATACATAGAAATCAGCTTCAGGTGAAGGGATATTTCTTTGAGGCCATTATCAGAAGAAGAAAGATTATAAAGTGGCTATTCCTCATACTGTTCCTGAAGCTTATGAAATTGGTGGGTTAGAAATACCCTCTCTTTAACTTTTCCCTGTCCCATGGCCTTAAAATTTCTAGAAGAGAAATCTGCATTGGGTTAGGTATAATCAGGACCAGTGCACTGGCTGCTGCCAGTCACTGGTCATCTCCATACACCTGAGACAGAGGTCCCCAAATACTTAATGTCTTCAAGGGAGAAATCTTATTTTCCATTTTCCCCTCCTGTGAAACCATCCTTTCCATATTTTTTGGAATTATTTTGTCTGAATAGTTCTTAATCAGACACATTCACTACTGTATTACTCGATTTACTCAAGATTTAATCCATGTTATTTTCTTGAGGAGAAAATTGTGATTATACCTCTTCCTGGACATCAAGTTCTTCCTGAGCCATCTTTCCTTCCATTAATTCAAGAGGATCTTTGCAGTCTTGCATGAGGGTGATCTTGACAAAGAGAGCATACGGTATTTATTAGAAATATAATAGCATCAGTCTACCTCATACTTCACTAAATATGATTTGAAGCTTTGCTGGTGCTTCTGTAATCTGCAGAATTCAGAATCCTCTTCAGCCTTCTTATTCTTTTATATTCCCCAACTTAGAATTTTCCCTGTACCATTTTTCACATACAAATGTGAACTACTACAGTTCTTCATTGTCTGAACTCCTTTTCTACTCTCTTCCCCAGCCTCTGAAGTGTGTGCCTTTCAACAAGGGATCCTCTGCCTAGATGGTTGAGCACTCAGTAGTGCTTCTCTTTCAGTGTCTGAGCTAAGAACACTTAGTATAACATTGAGCATGCAGTGAATGCACAGCGCAGGTTTGTGACTGAGGACGGTAAACAGTCTCAACTTGAATTGTATGGAGATTAATTTTATTGGAGATAGAAACCAATGTCTATAGCCCAAGCTAGTTCAGGAAAGTTCTGCTTTGTAGGAGTACTGTGTGATTTAATCTTCTATACAGAGGAGACCAACAATCAGGGCTTTGTCTCAGGCATGAAAAAGGACATTTCCAAACCAACTCCAAATATATACTAAAGTGTACATTAGTATACAACTGTATAGTAGTTAATGATTTGAATTGGTATTTTGCTATTTTTCATGTCACAAATATCCCAATTCTCTTGGTTAGTGTGGAAATTAATAGAGGATTAAGTTCCTGTGAAAATGGCCATAAAGTGATAGGAAAGGTAGAGTTAAGTGTAACCACAAGTTGGGACGGTCCTTACGATGGGAGAACAAAGGATAGGGAAAGTGTCAGTCATTATCTCTGCATCGCCAGTATTCTTTTTTTTTTTTTTGGTACCGGGGATTGAACTCGGGTCCTTGCGCTTGCGCAGCAGGTGGCAAAACCACTGAGCTAAATCCCCGGCCCTCCAGTATTCTTAATACACATAATTCCTAAAGAAAAATAAAGTGCCACAGGAGAGGCTGTCATTTTCCATAACTCTACTATGTAGAGGGGCTCTGTGCTAGACCCTGAAGAGACATAGAAGGGTAAGATCTCACAGGCTGTCAGTAATGATCAGCCCACTCTTCAGTGAACTTGAAAGTACATAATGCAAGAATCTATTTATATTCATCGTAACATTCAGGAATGAAAAAAAATCAAGCAAACAAAAACTCCATCCCAGCCACTCAGAACATCTCCCTGATTACAAACACCATGGAGTCTACCATGAGGGGTGCACTTTTGGCCAGTGGGTTTTGTCACATAAATGGGCTAAGATTTTAGATAGAGTTGGGTGGTAAAAAAACAAAACTATTTTCATGTTGAGAAAGAACTTGATACATTAGTTTTCTTTTATGTTTAATATGGGGTCTTTTTTTAGATACGTGATCTTGAATTGGATGGAAATTAATTGTATTTCTTTATTTTGCTTTGTTTTTACCTATGGGCTAGAGAGTTTCAAGTTGGATAGAAAAAGGTTTGAGTTTTCAAAGATGAGCAACTTACATGTAGCTGGTTTTGTATCTGTGGTTTTACTACTTTTTTTTCCCCCAGAAACACTTAAGCAGAGCAACCTGTCCACTAACAAAAGCTGAAAAAACATAATGTAATATTGTTTTCTAAATTAATTTTACTTCAGATATTGACTTCCTACAGTAAAGATGTTTATCCTAAGTTGAGAAAAATGAGAAGCAATTAAATGCATGCATGTCACTAGACTTATTTTTTGTAGGTATTTGTTTTAGTTCCCCCAGTTCACTGTGACAGGATGATTGAGAAATGAGGTTCTTGTTCCATGCCTGCCAGGAGACCTAGGCAGTGAGCCCACCCAGAATGTTTACCTCTCCAGATCTGATGGAGAACTGACAAATCTAGAGGAATGTAAGGTCTACTTTGAGAGAGAAAGTTAACCCTTGCTTAATTTATGGTTTTAATTATTTTTTTCCTTTTTTCAAGACCACTTATGGCCTGATGCATCCTATTTAAAGAAATTTATATATAATTCAGGGGTTTCCAGATGGCTGAAATTTCTGTTGCATTTATGTACACAAATCACAGAAAATGCTATCTTCTAAAGTGGCATTATAACAAAGCTACAGTGATAAAAACAGCATAGGAGGGCTGAGGATTTAGCTCAGTGGTTCTGCCGCCTGCCTCGCAAGCACAAGGACCTGACTTCAATTCCCAGTACCAAAAAAAAAAAAACAGCATAGGACTGGCACAAAAGTAGACACATGGATCAACTGATCTTAAGAAAGGATGCAGAAATAACCCCAACACATTCAGCTATCTGATTATTGACAAAGGGGCCAAAGACACACACTGGAGGAAAGCTAGCCTCTTTAATAAATGCTGCTGGGAAAACTGGCTATCCACATGCAGAAGATTGAATCTAGACCCATATATCTCACCATATATTAAACTAAAATCAAAATGGATCAAGGATCTAAATGTAAAAACAGAAACAATCTGCTAGAAGATAAAATAAGTAAAATGCTTGAAGACATGGGGATAGGCAAAGACTTTCTGAACAGAACCCCAGTTCTATAAGAAATAACATTGAAAATCAAAAAATGGAATCATATCAAATTAAAAAGCTTCTGCACAGCAAAGAAAACAACCAACAGATTAAAGAGACAACCTACACAATGGGGAAAACTTTTTGCCAGCTATTCCTCTGAGGACTAATACCTAGAATATATAAAGAACTCAAAAAAATTAGACCTCTCCAAAATAAAAGACCCAGTCAAAAAATGGGCAACTGAAATGGATACTTCTCAGAAGATGTACAAGATGTACAAATGTACAAATGGCAATAAGTACATGAAAAAAATGTTTTAACATCTCTGGCCATTACAGAAATGCAAATTAAAACAACACTCAGATTCTGTCTTACTCCAGAAATAATGGCTGTCATCAAGAAATCAAATAATAAATGTTGGTGAGGCTGTGGAGAAAAAGGAACCCTTCTACACAGTTGGTAGAAATGTAAACTAGTACACCTGTTATGGAAATCAGTATGAATATTCCTCAAAAATCTAAAACTAGAAATTCCCTTTGACCTACCTATTCTCCTTATAGGTATTTTCCTGAAAGGGTTTACAGTGATGCTTGCATACTTATGTTTATAACAGCATAATTCCTAATAGCTAAATCCTGGAAGTAGCCCATATACCCATCAACAAATGAATGGATGAAGAAAATGGTATTTATACACAATGGAGTACTATGCTATATAGAAGATAAACTTGATCCATGTGTAGGAAAATGGACGCATTTTGAGACTATAATGTAACTGAAATAAGTAAGACACAAAAGCGTTAACCTGGTTCTCTTATGTGGGTTTTAACCTGGTTCTCTTATGTAAGAAATCCAAAATATAAATATATACCAAAACAAAAGACAGATAATAGGAAACAGGAGATAGATCTCTTGCAAATGGGAAGGAAGAGGGCCAAGAGATGGGAGAAGGGGGAACAGAGGAGAGAGGAAGGCTATGAAACAAGAATTGAGATGTATTATGTACATGTGCCAACTCCCCATAAGGAGTGTTATCAGGTACTGCAAACATGTACTAATAAAAAATAAATTTGGGGAAAAAAAATGGCATTATAGGTAATGCCCATTTTTATTAGTAAACCCCCATGCTATAGGACTACTATGTATTAGACACTACCAGGTACTGTCCTACAACCTCTGTCATTTAGCCCTCACATCTCCCCAGCAAATTAAATGTTTTTACCCCCATTCCTTTGATGAAAGATTGAGGCTCTGAGAGGTTATGCATATGGCCTTAAGAACCAAACTAGATGCATGAAACTTTTGCCATTTATAGAAATCCTAATATTCCAGGAAAGATACAGATGTAGAAAAGTTAAATATTTACCGTTTCTAAAATGGAATCTTGACCTTCTTGGGCTTTAACCTGATTCTGTAGATAAAGTATGGCATCATGAATAGTCAAAAAGAATATGTCCTTTCTACTGTTATCATCAAAGAAACCACATTGCTCCATCTGTTTGATAACATGATCTGCAAAACAAAGATAATATTTAGCTCTAGCGAAAGTTATTTTTGTAACATAAACCTTTTACTAAGTTTTTGTAGAACCCCCTCCCCATTTCCAAAATGTGATCTGCTCTAAACTGACTTTCTTTTCCAGGAGCACACAAATTGATTATCTCATAATTGCTTGTAGATGGCCTTGGTGCCTAAACATGTCCCTTTTGCCAAGTCACTGTACCCATCCCCCAGCTACTGTAAACCTGGCAGCTCGTAGTTCATAGTTGTGCACTTCTCTGCAGAATTTACCTTGACCAGTGGGTGCTGTCTTACCCAAAGAGGTGGGGGAGGGGGGGAGCTTGCATGCATTGACTGATAATAAGGGGGACACAAAGCAGAACCCCTTAAGATGGCATAACCCTCTGGCGCTCCTCCTGCTTTGGGGCTCCTTGTGTCATCAAGGCTGCACTTCTGAAATCATGTCTTCGGATCAGCTTATCCACCTGCCCTATCCTGCCTCCCTTGCTCCTTCAATCATTTGTGTAAGAATCCCCACCCCAGGCTCTGCTTGTAGAGAACTCAAGATAAGCACTAACATTTTCCTACCCACATATACAGCCAGACACAAAAACTCACACTCTTACCAGTCCTCTTGCTCCAGCGGATCTAAGTCCTCCAGCTCTGCTCTCCCCATAACATCCTCTCCCCACCCCGTTGATCTTGCTCCACTCTCAGATTAACCAGCTATGCGGTAGTACCATTATAACTACCAGCTATGTGGTGGTAATCAAAAGTAACATCTTTCTGGGTTCAAAATGCTCTGCAATTTTCTGTTTGGTACTTTTCTGATGAAAAGTTTTGGAAATAGATAATAAATGTGAATATAATTAATGCTACTGATTAATGATACATTTAAAAGTGACTAAAATGGCAAATTTTCTTATACATTATTTACCACAATACAAAAACAAAGGGCTTAGGAAAAAGTCTTAGGTATGTATATCCATTTACCTTGAAGTGATGCAAAGTACACATTCACATCAATTCTTTGGAATTCTTTAACAATCTAAAAATAAAAAAGGAGAAAGTTACAATGAGTAACTTTCTGTGTCCATAATTCAGTCAAATTCGGGTACTTGCTCAAGAGAAATGTCAGCACTTTCACGGCTAATCAAGACTTTGAGGGAAGTTCATTATTGGAAAAACCATAGAGGTTTTCAGCTTACAGCGATATATTTAAATATGAAAAGACCATATCTCAAGAGATAACAGTATCCACTGTTCAGGAGCACAGCACTCTAATACAGAAATGCTCACTAAATACTTGCGGAAGGAAGAAAAGTACAGAAGCTTCCTAATGTAGCCCCTGCTGATAACAGCAAAAAGCATGCGTTTCCATCTGAGTGGAAGAGAGATGAGTGTGGACATGACCACCACAGTCAGAATGTGAAAACACCTAAACATGGAGGTCTCGATTTTGAATGTATCAATGTTAGTATCCTGATTATAATTTTGTGCAATAGTTTTGTAAGATGTTACTATTGGGAGAAAGTGGGGCCAACTTACACAGAATCTCTCTGATATTTCTTATAACTACATGTAATTCACAGTGATCATTGAAAGTTTAATTTTAAAAAGGATACCGGACCTATGGATAATAATAAATAATTGTCATAATATTTGAAAGCAAGTGTGGAAGTGTTCTGGCATTAAATATGTTAAGGTTCTGTAAAAGTCGTCAATAAATGTGTTGGCCAGTAACAGTGTACAACGGATCTGAGCCAAGGCCGAGAGTGAAATGCACAACAAGGACAAGAGTTTTCCAATGTTAATACCAAATCTTCTAAGAGAACAGAGCCCTGCCCGCACATTCTCACATTCTTACCCACACCCTCCATCATTTCTTCCCCTTAGCCAGCCAGGAACCCCCCAACGAGGCTAACCCTCACGTAGAAGTCTGTTTCATATGATTACATCTGATCGTTGGTGCCTTAGCCTACTTCCTTTTCTGCCTGACTCTCATGATACCTACCTGAAGCTCCACCTAAATTTCGTGCATGAGATGATACCCTATTTAAAATCTGCTTTGAAGCACTTAGCACTTAAGATTACTTAATATTTGCCTTCCCCTGTAGACTCCTTAGTCTCATGAGGATAGAAACTATGACTACTCACTCATCACTAGTCTCTTGTGCTTTGCAGAGTATTTAGCACACATTAGGCATTTAACATCTATTTGTTGAAGGAATAATGAACTGGACCTGGCATAAATGCTTTCTGATGAATGTTTCCTCCCTGCATGCTCCTCAACTCTTGCTTTGACTTCCTAGATAAGTAACCTGCAGCCTGCTCTAATCTCTTAATGTCTGGCTTTCCCAGTCCTACCATGTTCTTGGTGTTCCTTATCCTGCTGCTGTTCTCCGTTGAATAAAACACTTAACAAAAGTCTGCCATTTTTCCTTTTCATATTCCATTTACATTCTCAGAAAAATAAAACAATGTTAATATTTACTAACAGTGTTCATGTATCAGATATTCTTCTAAACTCCTTGTATTTATTAGCTTACTTAATCTTCATGACACTTCTGTGAAGTAAATGCCACCATCATCTCTGTTACAAATGAAGAAATTAAGACACAGACAGATTAAGCAACTTGGTCACAGTCAGACTGCTAGTAAGTGGTGGAGCCAGGAATCACCTCAGATAGTCTGGCTCCACAGCCCATACATCATCCTTTGGCAGAACTGGGCAACCTATACCGTTCTGCTAGTACCACGGCTCCAATTCTGCAGTTCAAAAAGCTGAAAGCTTACCATGCGCAAAGACCTCACTCCAACAACATCCAAGAAAGAGATAGCTCCACAGTCAAGCACGAGGCTATGGATTGGCACTTTGGGAACATTCACTTTGACTGGAAGGTCCGCATTCCAGTCCACTTGAAACTCAATTTCCTTGGTTGGTATATCAAGTTCTTGTGGATCTTCAATGTCTTCATCAGGCTCAAAAGCATTATTCGATGAACCAGCATCACTTATGATGCCATTCTAAAAAAAGAAAACACTGCCAACTTAATTGCCAGTGATTGAAATGTCTTTTGGTCATTCATCTCCAACTATTTAAAAAGCCTACATCCATTGTTCCTTGGTAAGCAAAAACATCAGGGGGATGAATGTTTAAGGAATGAGTTTTAGTCAGACCTGGTGACACACGCCTGTAATTCCAGCTATTCAGGAGGCTAAGGCAAGAGGATTGCAACTTCCAGGCCAGCCTTAGTGAGACCACCTCAAAATAAAAGGAAGGGCTGGAGATGTCACTCAATGGTAGCATGCTTGTCTCAAATGTGTGAGGCTTTGGGTCTGATCCCCACTTCTGCACTCACGCAAATGGGTTATACCTTGGCCCAAAATTTGATGTTCTCTAGGAAGAAAAAAGGGAGATAGGAGAGCCAAGAAACCCGACTTCTGGAAGATTGTGGAAATTTGCCAAGAGTTATACTTACTGGTAGGAGAATCTGAATAAAGGTTAATAGCTCTTAAGAATTTATGAACTTACTGCCTTCCATTGTAATGTCTGGCATTGACTTCGTACTTCCAGTAAAAATAAGGTTTAACAACAATGCAGACCCTATTCATTATGGGGGGAAATTCACACCCTGTGTGTCCAGGGAGCAACACTGATTTCATTTTACCAGGAACAGCTAGCTCAGCCATTCTCTGACATGTGTATGTCATCTGTTGGTACACGTCTGGATACCAAAGGGGACAGATTTAATTTTAGACCACATCTGTGTTCATCAGAGAAAGGAAAGAATTCGAAGGGGGGAGAGAAAGCTGTTACCTCACCTTTGTTGCCTTTAATTGCCCTTTTGTGATGAGTTTCTGTATTCTCCTCAGTGCTTTCAGCCTCTTGTTATACACTCGAATGGCATCAAATCCAACCTTGGGGAAAAGATGTCAAGTTACTTAAAATGTATGTCTGCTTCCTACTGTTCACTAACGCCAACTGCTACCTGAACGGTTATTTCCCAGTAGATAATATTCCTCGAGACCTTGCTGGAAAAGAAATTAAGATCCGCTGGTAAAGAAATTGAGATCCGATGGTGTGGACCCCTCTCCACCGGCAGACTCGGGAAAGACGATACGTTGTTAAAAGCTCAAGACAGTGCAAGACAAAACAGCCAAAAACAACCTCGAGCTTTAAGTCCGTCTGCTGTATTTCCTTGGCATAACAGAGCCCTCTGTTACTGCAAAATGTGTACGCATTCCCCTGAACCAGTTTGCCTTGGAACTCACTTGAGAGAACACTGATCGATCGAAGGGTGGGTGACAGGGCGAGAACGTCCAACTTCCATGTTCCGCCCATGCTTTTTATTCCGCGGGGTCAGGGTCCCTCTTCCAAGACTTTGTCCCAGCTCTCGGTCCCCAAACTCCCGCCAGCTAACGTGGACCTCTCCCTTCAGTGAACTTCTCCTCCGCACTTAAAAGTGTTAATTTAAAATGACCGCAATAAACCTAGTACATGTCAGCAGAAAAAAATTTTTTTAATGAACATAACTTTTTTTCAAATAAAAGTGCTTAGAACAGTGGCATTGTTCTGCACCGTGCGGCTTCTCAGAGAGCAGCTGCTTTCTCCTGCGTGCCTGCGCGGGTTATCCGTGCGCGGCGCCCTTCGAGAGCGGCCCGCAGGCCACTCCTGCCTCTTGCTTGGGGCCCGCGGCGACCTTCCCGGTCCCGGCGCCACCGTGGGAAGTTAACACAGTATTCGGGAGTTCAAGTCGGCCCGGACTGTTAGCGTTTTGTCTGGCAGTTATTACTGTCTGGATTTTAACCAGCGTAGGTTAAAATTCCCAATAGAGTGCAAATCTTTTTTTAAAAAAAATTCTGCCTGCCCTACAAAAAGAGAATAGACGGTGGCGTCTTGTTCCCAGTTGAAGCCCAATAAATAAGAGTGAAATCTCGAATTAAAAAACAAATTTTGGTCGGGGGATTTAGCTCAGTGGTTTCGCCGCCTGCTGCGCAAGCTCAAGGACCCGAGTTCAATCCCCGGTACCATAAATAAATAAATAAATAAATAAATAAAAACCAAATTTCCCGGGATAAAATACTTACTGTGGACTTGATACATTTTTTAAAACCATCAACATTGCCATAAAAAATAGGGCCAGAAAATCTAAGAATCTTCACTCCTTTAAGTTCTTCAATCTGGCATTTAAAAAAAAAAAAAAAGGAAGTTGGTTAATTCTAGACCTCAGATACTCAACGAAATAGCTATTTTACAAGGAGCTGGATGACGATTGCTTGGATCTGGGCAGCAACGCTCAACTTTCCTTAAATAGGGGCTTGTGCCCATTTCCAAAGTACTGCGTTGCCAAAACTCTTGGATTTCCAAAACTCCAGAGAAGGTCAAGTTAGGGCTTTAGAAAGCAATTTTCAACCCTTTGATTTCCAGGTAAAGAAACCGAGGTTCAGAATAGTGATGCAATTTGTCCCTAGTTCATACCACTGATCCTCCTGATTTTGCGAAAATTCTTCTGAGTAGCAAAAATAAAGCAAAGTCCAGGAGGTTTGCAGAAGTGTCATCTGCTTCTTTATACTCATACACAGTGGCCATGCCATAAGTAGAACCCATAGAATCACAGACTTCTCGGGTCTTTAGGAATCAGCAGTTTTATTCTCACCCTTTCAGATGAGAAAAATGAAGCCCTGAGAGGCTGAGTGTCGTGGGCAAATCTCTCCAATAGGGAGCCGAGAATCCAGAACTCCTAAACAACTCAGCCCAGAGTTCCCTCCGTCTCAGTGCCAAAATTTTTTCTAAAATCATTTTAGCTCTTTTTAGCATTTGGCTCAACATTACAAAAAGATTGTGGAAATAAATTAAGTAACAGTTGGGCCCCGGATGTAGCTCAGTGGCACTGTGCCTGCCTGGCAAGTGCAAGGTCCTTAGTCGGTCCTCTGTATGGAAATAAATAAATAAATAAATAAATAACAGTTGGAATTCCAGGTTCAGTGTCCCATGATATTTTAATATTAAGGCAAAATTAGACTACAACCTCCTAGAGTTCATATTAAAATACATTTATATGTATATGTTTTTCCTAAGTTTGTGTTTTCCAAGTTTACTTTCTCTGCCTTTTCATATTCCCTAGTGATCTCTAAACAATTTTATGTGCAGGCAACACAAGCCCATCACTGGGATATTTAACTTCTTTGTTTTTCATTTCCTATATCATATGTTATTTCTTCCAATTCCAAGGATAAAGCAAAATATCAAATAACTTGGTGACAGAAAACTTGAAAATTTCTTGTTAGAACTGAATAAATAGTATGAGGCTTTCAGGCAACTTCATAGAGGCTAAGGATTATAGCAGAGAAAATATTGATTGAACACCTGGCAACAATTGTGTATTATTTTAAAAATCCTCTTAGAATGATTTTACATTAACATGACATGCAACTAGTGTTGACAGACTTCATAAAATCCTAGTCTGTCAGAAGGTACACCAAGTCAAAAGTTCTCATGACACTGTCAGTGGACTAACATTAGGACTTCCTCCATCCTTGGCTACCTTGTAACTACCCTGCTAAAGGAGAAATATGTGGCTCCTAAAATTATAGGTGAACAAACCCTCTTTCTGCAGATGTCTCACAAAAGCACTTACATTTTTGTAATTCTTGGTACTTTTGTAGATGTCTGTGCTAGGGATGTTTCCAAGGTCATTCCATGAAGGGCTAAAAGAGGAAAAATTAACATCAGAATTTTTTTTGAAACAGCCATATTTTGGACTAAACAGTTAAAAATAGCCAGGCACACTGGCACATGTTTATAATCACAGCTACTTGGGAGCCTGAGCAATTTAGCAAGACCCTGTCTCCCAAACAGGTTGGAGGAAAGGGCTTGGGGATTTAGCTCAGTGGTTCTACCGCCTGCCTTGAAAGCGCAAGGTCTGGAGTTTGATCCCTGGTACCAAAACAACAAAAAACCCTAAAACAAACAAAAAACTGTGTAGGGTCCTGGGTTTGATCCCCAGCACAGGAGTGGGAGGATTAAAAAGAAATAGCTGCTAAGCAGCCTTCACTCTGCTGTTTGAGGCTCAGTCAGTATAGCAGATGACATTTTCCTGCAACTAACTCTGAAGTGAACAGCTGGTGTTTGCGTGGAACCAGGGAAGAAAGAAATAACTGTGACTTTTCTTCTGGTGGCTGAGAGAATAATGAGCATCATACTTATAGGATGAGGAAGAGCTTACCCTAACCCCCAAAAAGTCAGTTGTGTTATCCTTATTTTCATTAGTATGTAAACTGGGACTCGAAAAGGCCCTGAGGTAAGGATCTGCCCAGGGTCATGGGTGACTGTTGCTTACTTGTAACTTCCTGATGAAGTTTGGAGAGTTTGCAGATAATCAAATTAGTTTCTTTTTATAGAATTAGCAGCCTGAGAAGACCAGAAATAAGTCTGTCCTGTAAACCAGACTGTTGATTTCCTGTTCCTGATGCAATCAGATAATTTCCATGTTTCCTCAAGTGTGACTAGGGACATATGCTAAGTGCAACTCCTGAAGAAAGAAAGGCTGTCTGGGGTCCTTTCAGCATTGTGCTCTCTGGATCAGCACTCTAATGACTGGAAATTAAACACTGTAGAGGACACTGCTTTTTGTTGGCTAAAGGCCTGGTTACCAAACCAGCAGCAAAAATGAGCCACCAGTTTTTCTTTGGCTTGCTGTGGTGTGCTGATTTTTAATTTAAAGCTCATAAGTTAGTCTTTCCAAAACCCTTCTCCCTCAACCACACCCAGATAAGGTAAAATAGACACTGAAGAGTTTCTAGGTTATTTCCTAGCAGCAAACTGGGCACTCTGGGAGTTCATGAACGTTCAGGATTCTGGGCACCAAGGGTGCTTTGGCAGAAAGCCACAGGCCTTTTGGACAGAACCAACATGTGAGCATAGGGAGGAAGAAAGGGTACAGGAGAGCTAGACAGTGGCATGAAGCGGTGAGCCCATGATAAGCTGAAGACACTGATGCTGGTGTTTTTCCAGGTCTCTTCTTCCTTGGTGGCCCAAGCACAAGCAGAGAAGAGGTCAGAAGTCCAGAAAGACAATAGATGAATTAGGGAGGGGGAGAAACCTCATTCCCCTCTAGTGTCCTCTTCCCCTCTAGACTCAGGAGGGCACGAAACCAAAATCTCTCGAGAGTCAAAACAAAACCAACAACAACAAAAAAATCCATCTTCAGTCTCCCTCACTAGTCCTCACAGATTGTTTTCCATTAATTAACTCCTGCCTTTGCTGCTTTCACTTTGCATGTGAACTAATTATGTTTACTTCAAATAATTGTGTGACTTACTGGATTCCCTACTTGAGAGATTTGGATGAATCCTGATTATAATCAACAACCCTAAAGCTCTCCTGTTCTGGGTTGTGTAATTTATTTTGGGTTATAAGCTTCAAGAGAGAAAAATGAGCTGTGATAGATTTAGCAGCTGTCTTGTTCCAAGCCTTGGGCCCAATGCCTGGCATCCTTTATCTCATCTAAAGAAGAAACTACGGAGCAACCTCAGTCTGGCTGAGCTATGTGTCTCTTAGTCTAACCAGGCCTAAAAGGAGAGCACAACCGTGGAGCATGTGATGAAATCTAGAAATTTTGAGTGAGATAATCTGAGTTCAAATCTTAGCTCTGCCAATTAGTAAATGTGTGACCTGAGGGGAAGTCTTTAGCCTTTCTGAGCTTAAAACTTCCACTTGTACAATGAGAATAATCAAAAGTACTCATAAGATTCTTTTGAAGATTAAATATATTTGCAAAGCACTGTGTGCTTTCTTTATAGAATCACTCAATATGGAGTAACTATTATAAGAGAAAGTGGTTTCACTACATTTATGAAAACAGCATTAAAAAAAACAGCATAGGAAAGTTTAGGGTGTGTTGTCCTGTTCATAGGAAATCTGGGTTTATTGTACTCACAACTGAACTCTCAGGACCACAGTCAATAGTCCAAATAAAAGGCCAGCTAGCAGACCCAGGTCCAGCCCCAAAATGATGGACATTACGCATGTAAACACCCAGATTACCTAGGCGGGAAATGGAAATGAAAAGAATTATATTAATTTATCTGGTACCAGCAAATGATAGAGTACTTATCAAAAAAAAGATCAACTACCCACAAATTACAACTTTTTAAAAATATTCTAGTTTCATTCATTTTATGTTTAAGTGAAGCTGGAAATTGACCTTCCCAAGTAAGACCAACTATTGCATTGTATTTATTTTTAAAGTTTTGAATAGGCAATATATCCACATGGTTCAAAGGGGAATTAATATTTTAAAGGTGTACAGTGAAAAAATCTTGCTCACAACCCTCTCCCCTCTCCACCCATTCCCCAAATCCTCTCCTACTTGTATCCACTTGCATTTCTTTGTGTGATCATGTATGTGTAGGTGTGAAAGCACACAGACTTTTCCCCGATATTTTTATTCTGGCCTCTTTTTTCTCTTAATTTGTCTAGAGATCTTTGCCTAACAATAGATAGGAGGTTTGCTTATTCTTTTTAGGTATCCTGGGCTCAATTAGTGCAGGAGTCCAAAAGATCTGGCTTCTGGTTTTTACAATTCCTCCTAAGAGTTGTGAAGACTACTTTAGTCACAAAATTGGAACTGGTTTTTATGTCTTGTTTTTGTTTATTTGGTGTTTTGTTGGCACTTTTGAACCAGGTTTTAAATAAAATGTGTTTGTTTTTTGGCGTTAGAAGGCCAAGGGTGTATGAGCCTGATGTGGTATTCTCCCTGGAAATGAATCTTCCTAGAGAAACAGGGTCTTCACAACATGCAGTTCATGTCAAGACTTGGGTTTATTCACACAATTCTAATTTCTGCTACGGGATTTGCAAAGTTCAGGGAAGACTTAGAAAAAAGGGAGTGTCATCGTGATGTGACAGGAAACATGTAGAGCCAAATCTTAGTTTAGAGAGAAATGGGTGGTGGGTGACTTACAGCATCAGTCTTATTCTGCCGCCACAAACGAGGAACATCACACACCTGCATAAACATCCCTTTCAGGTTGGCAATTACAACTGCTGCCAAGACGGACTGCCAAGAGAGACCAGAAAGGCTGGGTTATTCAGGAGAATGGTTTTCAAATCTCCTGTTATTTCTCTGGTAGCAGAGTGGTGAAAGGAAATTGTGCAATGGTACAGAGAAATGGATTTCTACCTTCTGCAAGGGTTCCAGAAGCTTCCCCAAGGAAACAATGGCGATCATCACAATCCCAGCCGAAATGATGCCAGCAATCTGGAACACATACACCTTGCATGAAGCGGGTTCATCCTCTCTGTGTCTTCCAGCTTGCCACATATGTACCTCTCACAGGCACACTGGACCCTTCCCCGACTCCCTCTTCTACTCGTTATTCAGAGAAATGAGCATTATTTGGTCAGACTACACAAAACTAAACAAGAATGGAAAACACACTTATACAGAGAAATATATACACACTGTCGCAGAGTAAGGGAAGAGGAAGACCGAGCCTACTAAAGTGAAGCCAGTTTGACATGGATTCCGTTTGGACATCTTGCAACTGTAGTTCTGGTGTCCATTTAGGAGGCTGACCTCTTAGTTATTTGCCATACCATGAAACACGGACCACCTCTTTCCCCAGCAATAGAGATTATTGTCACATTCTTGGGAAATAAATTTTCATGGTATGTACCCAATTCTTCTGCATTATTGAAGCAGCAGCCATAATAGCAGCTGTGATAATGCATTGTACTTGTAGCACATGGTTCCCAGCAAAGTCTCAGAACATTAATTTAACCCATCGTACTGCAGATTCATGGTGCCATATGGACACACTGAGAGACAAGACTCTGTGTCCTGCTTCTTGCAACAGTTGCATAGATGCTGGCTTCAGACTTTGCTCCTAGGCAGTTGCAGTGATGGGGCAAGGACAGAGTAAAGGAAGCTCAGAAATGTTACCTTCATTGGCAAAGAAAGCTCTGCTAAGTTCCATAAAGAGGAGAGAGGCTGGGGGTGGGGACTATTTTATGGCTTGAGCAGATGACCAACGAATTCTCTGTTGAGACAGTGGTGGCATGGCCAAGGAAGACTAGAAGCTCTGAAACAGAAGAGGAGACAGGGAGCCAGAAGCAAAGCAGTCAGAGAGGAAGCCATAGGAGAGGTCATGTTGAGCATAAGTACTGCCTAGTGCAGGCTGTTGGAGTTATAGGAGGCAGGCACAGCGAATGTAAAAAGAAAATTAGAAAACTTAATTAGAAAACATTCATGTCAGCCAGGTGTGATGGCTCATGCTTGTCATCCCAGCACTCTGGGGAGCTGAGGCAGGAAGGTTGCTGCAAATTTGAGGCCAGCCTAGGCTGCATAATGAGCTTAGGGCCAGCCTGGCCTACATAGCAAGACCTTGTCTCAAACAACAACAGAAAACACTCCATCTGGCAAATAGATCATTTCTGTTCAGATTATGGCTGAGCCAGCCTGGGGCAATATTATATATATGATGTGCTTTTAAAAAGCTCACTCTGTATAACTGACTTCCAGCTCTATGCTCTTCCTAACACCGTACCTCCAGGTTCCCAGCACTTTAGCGTGTTTACCCCTCCCTTTTCTAAACAGAGAAGGTAATACCCTTCTTTCTTTCCCCTCTTCCTTTCTTCCAGCTAGCCAACCAATATTTAGTGAGCACTTGCATCACACTGGGATAAAGGGCTCTGTGAATTGGTGAGACATGGAGATTAGGGTACCAGGACCTCAATGGGCTGACCAACTCAGGCAAGAGTGGCTACCCATTTGACAAGTACATGTAATAAGGAGCCTCCCATTACTGGGCCACAGCTAATCTTGGTCACGATATTGAAATCTATGAAGGATCAGTTGCTTGTACTTAGTATATAAGATGGTGTGTTGGAAACTCTGTAGACTTTATGAGCAGATTCAATTACTAGCAGATTAATTATCCTGTTAAGTGAGAGGGCAATCAGAGCTACAGAGTACTTTGTAATCAGAATTACTTTTTCAGGAGTCAGTAGGACTCCGATGATAGTCAGAGGAAGAACAGGGGGCAGTGTTTAGCTCTTCTACACTCCACTGAAGTGCCGAAAAGAGTTGATGTCCACCAACATGCATGTTTTTATTTATTCCTTCAGTAAATACTTGCTGGGAGCTTCTCCTGTTCTAGGCACAATACAGGTACCATATGCACTAGCGTTCTCTTCTACCTGAAGGAGTGGAAAAAGCAGCACTGACCAGTATGTGATAGGGCTTTACAACTTCTTGATTCCTTTTGACACAGCTATGAGAAGGATACTTTTGATTCCCATTAGTAGATATTGAAACTGAGGCTGAAAAAAAAATGAGAATCCATACAAGAAAAGACCTGCATTTGGGCGTGGCGGTACATGCTTGTAATCCTAGTATGATGGGAGGCTAAGGCAAGAGGATTGCAAGTTCCAGCCCAGCCTGGACAATCAAGTGATGACTCTGTCTCAAATAAACAAATAAAAGCATAAAAAGGGCTGGAGATGTAGCTCAGTGGAAAGAGGCCTTGGGTTCAACCTCCAGTACCACAGAAAGACAGAGACAGAGACAGAGAGGAGTAAGGAGAGGGAGAGAGAGGAAGAAGAAGGAAGAGGAGAAGGAGGAGGTGGTGGAGGAAGAGGAAGAGAGGGGAGACAAGAAAAAGAAGAAAAGAAGAGAGGAGGGGAGGGGAGAGGAGAACAAAAGGACCTGCCAATGTATTGGTTACAAGTCCCTGGATTTCCGTCCAGGCACTTAGACTTTTAACCCTAGAACTTAGTATGCATTTCAGCAACTAAAGATCAAGCCATTTCTGCACTTGTTCCCTTCTTCAGTGCTGAAATCCTGTCATCCTTCATCCCTAAACATAATACATGCCAGTGTGTGGCAGAGGATATTAGCTTACCAGAACACCATTATCCCCTAAACCTTTGCCAACGAGGTCACTTTACATGAGCACTCTTACTGGGGCAGCCAGCTTATTTGGGTCCAGAGGTAAGAGCAGAAAAACAGACATCAGCAGTTCGGGAGGGACTTCCTGTACCTTCTTAGGACCTGTGCCCTAGAGAGTCTTAGTCACTGCCAACACCAGCAATAAGAACTCCTGCTACTGAAAGCTGGAGCCTGAAACAGGCCCGGCTTTGGAAATTAGTGCTGACCAACCCCCCATGGCAACAGATTTCTCTGTCTCCTGGGATGGACTGCACTGTTTCACCTGCTCCCTCAGAGGTAGAAATGTCTGCCCTCCCAAAAAAACTGTTAAGAAAAATTCTGAGAATATTAATTTTTTGTTTCAAAGGGGCCAAGAAATTAGAAGAGACCAATTCTTCCAAACCTGTCACAAGATCCATTATAAATAGGAGAGGAACGTCACTGTACCATGGGGAGAATTAAAGCTCTCTCTTCCCCCCCAGCCCACCACTGGACTCATTCATCTTCTCAGTTATTCTCTTTCATACTTATTTGTAAATGTCTCTGCCTTTATAAAGCCCTATTTGAAGATTGTACTTTTTCACGCTATTTAGTTTGGCTTTGTAGTTCTCCTTTATAGTCCCAGTGTACTTTTTACTCTTAAATCAAAGTTGTTTCTGTGTTGGGAGGGAAAAACCCAGGAGGCACATCAGGAACACAAGTCCTAAATCTGTCGCTAGCCCAAGGCCACTCACTTGTGTCTAGCTGGAAAGGAAAGCCTTTGAGAGCCACTCCTGGGCTTTCTGGCCAACCAAACAAGGGATTATGTCAGAGATTAGCAGGGATGCTGGTTTTATGGTCACCTTGTAAAGGCAACAACCAAAAGGCACATTTAAAAGGCAAGATTCAACCCACATTCAGAACTTCAAGAACAAAAATCTTACTCAGGTAGAAATGCCAAAATGTTACAACAACATGAGCCAAACTTGGCTAGTAAACTGTTGTTCTGTGAGACCAAAGGCCGCTGAAGAAAGTTCCTAATCCTTGTAAAGGAAATGTGAATGAACTTCTCACTTTCCTGAAAATGTAAGAACTCAAAGCCTAGGCTTGTTACTAGGCTGTTCCTCCCCCCATCCCAGGTAACCAACTAATAAAAATCAGCCTTCATCGTTACTGTTGCCTTGGCAGCTGTGATTGTTCCTAGGAAAGCAAGGAAGGAGTTATTTGTCAGTTGAACAGTGACACAGGGATTTGGGAATTGCCGCCTTTGGGGAAATGTAAATGTTGCTTTTAAGAGGTTTGTGATGAGGGGTAAGTCAAAGAGATGAATAGGCCCAAGTCGGATGAGATGACAAGCATAATGCCTCTCTTCCCAAAGGTTTACTGTCCTATTCAGATCTTGTGCAAGACTTTCTGAGCCACCATCCCTGGTTTAATGGTACCCAGCTGTTGTTCCATACCTGTGTCTTTCCCCCGGTGCTCTCCTGGACAGCTGTGCGGGACAGGGCAGTGGTGGCCACAAAACAAGAGAAGAATCCAGAAAAGATGTTGCTGATCCCAAAGGCAATGAATTCCTAGGGGAGAGATTGGATGACCTTGATGCTACAAATAAAATCTCTGCAAGGCCCTCACCAGTGTTTAAAGAAGTATATTAAAGGAAACTTCCACGCCCACCCTGCCTACTGGTCCAACTTAATTTTTACTATTAAAAGTATGTGGGGATCTTAAAAGACGCAGGAGTTTGGGCTTCATAGAACCTAAGAGAGACTTCATTGCTGTCAGTTGTTTTTAAGGTTGAGAAGAAACTATCTCTAGATCCTTTGTGAAAATGCTCTTTTCACGGGGATTTCTCAAAAAACTAAAATTAGGAATTCTATTGGACCTGATTATTCTCCTTCTAGGTACCTTCTCAAAATAGTTAAATACCAATGTTTATAGCAGCACAATTCATAATAGCTAAATCTTGAAAGTGGTCTATATTTCCATTAACAGATGAATAAATAAAATATAGTACTACTACAGTACAATGTAGTACTACTGCAGTACAATGCAGTACTACTCTGCCATAAAGATAAATTTGAGTCATTTGCACCCTGTAGACCTCAGGTGAAGTGAAATAAATCAGACACATAAGCTTCAATATCACATGGCTTGAGAAACCCGAAGTATAAATAATTTAAAGAACAAAATAAAAGATAGACAACAGAAAATAAGGAGATAGATCTTTGGCAAATGGGAGAGGGAGGTAGAAAGAGGAAGAGGAAATAGAATTAAGTTGTGTTATATACATGTATAAAAATTTTTTTTCACTGTCTAGTGAATGATATATCTGCAACTCTCACATGAAACATTTTTTCTGTGGTTGAGTATTTGTTATGAAGTATATTATAACTAGCTAATATGCTTGGTAATTAAGCTATGATACTGGGAAATTACTAGTCCTTTGGCTGTTGTCATTGCTGTGCCGTTTTCAGAATCGTACAGTAACAAACTTGCAGATTTGCAAACAGTGTTAAAGGAGCCCACCTGGCAATGTATCGTATGTCTACAAAAACTACCTGCATAAGTTAAATGCACTACGAACTGCCTAGGTATAAAGTGGTGGCATCTATTCCTAATGGTGTTTGTTGCACTGTTTTGTTATATTACAACTGCCATTAAAAGAATTACTGGGAGATACTGAACAATTTCTATTCTGACCTAATATATTAATTTTAAATATTGTTTATAACCTGACTGAATTAGCTGTGTTTAAAACTAGGATTACTTCAATTTATTTCTTAAAAAGCAAAGTGACACAGTATGAATATTTCAAAATAATTTTTAATTAGCAAGGACAAGGGGGGAAACCACCTAAGGACTGGTAGAATAAACCGATCCTTTCTTTAGCTGACACCAATATTTTTCCCATTTATTATTTTTTTTCTTTTCAGCCCTGTAAAACCAGTTCAGCAGAAGGATGATGACCATACCTGGTTCCCATCGATGGTGTAATCATGCTTGGTGGCATATACTTTCCCTACAGACACTGCAATAGCATAAGCCACTACAGCGATGGAAAATGATGCGGTCAGCATCTCAGAAAACATGGCCACAGGTGGAAGTACAGGAGGCAAAAACCTAGTGAAGTTTTAAATGAAAAATACTGTAAAGATTTGATGATTTTTTTTTCCCCACATCACCAAATGTTACATTCACTCAGCTACATGTTAGACATAAAAGAACGTGATCCAAGAGAAAAAAAAGTATGTCAGAGGCCTGAACAGTAGCATCTGCTTTGACCCTTTTTCTTTTTTGGGGGGTGGGGTACCAAGGATGGAACTCGGGTCCTTGCACTTGCGAGGCAGGCAGCAGAACCACTGAGCTAAATCCCTGGCTGCTTTGACCCTTTTTTCATCAGAAGTTAGTGTTATTTCTGATATGAATAAATCTGTTGTTACTCAATGTTTTTGTTTTTTTTTTGGTACCGGTGATCAAACTCAGGACCTTGCTCTTGCGAGGCAGGTGCCGGAACCACTGAGCTAAATCCCCAGCCCTGTTACTCATTCTTTAAGGCCATACACACTAGGATTTCTCCTGACAAGAGTTTCACTCTAACTTGAACTTAAAAGATAACCTAGCCATTATACGAGATTTACGTTGTATGAAAACATGTCAGTTCTGTTAAAGACACAGAGAACATATACTAATGCTAAAAGAGCTTGGTAGAAAGTTAAGAGCCATAACATTTAAAATCTTCTTGAGGCCAAAAATGATTAAATTTGTTTCGTTAGCACAGTGCTCCATAGTGACTAAAATACCCTGATGATTGTATAGTCAAATAACCACTGTTTGACAAAACCAGAGCTTCTCTGAAAACTATTAAAGAAATAAGCCAGTCATGGTGGCACATGCCTGTAATCCCAGCACTTGGAAGGCTGAGGCAGGAGGATCACTGTGAGCTCAAGGCCAACCTGAACTACATAGCAAGACCTGTCTCAAAAAAACCCAACAAACAAAAACAAAACAAAACAAAAAGAAACATATACGTTTATAATCACGAGAGTGTCCCCAAATATGAAAATTTGGGAGAATACTTTGATGTAACTATAGCCTATAGACTTTTCATATGGTAAAATCCCAGAGAGCCTCAGCCATAAAAAAAAAAATCTCCAACTGCTTTGTTTATGGCTGCATAAAGTTGAAGTAAAATTCTTAGAGAAAACCATACAGAAATTTAGCACAGCTGGTAGCAAGCATCCTAGATAGTGTTGAATCTACTTCTTTCATTTTGTTAATAAAAGAACAGAGACTTAGAAAAGTGATTTGCCTGAAATGAATGTTACATATTAGATAATTTTCTAGTTCTGTCTGGTTCTCTGTCTTTGTTGGGCTTTCTCCCCTCGAGTGAGGGGTTAATTTTCAGACTCCTTCACCCCCAAATCCCATCCTACCCTGCGTGTAGGCTTTACAGTGGACCCCATCTGCAGGCAGACTGGGTGTTGGAAACCCTAATTCAGCACTCACGCGTCTCAGTACCACATCACCTCCTAGTATGGATATGACCTTGGACCTCACTTCTTAAAACCAGGCTCTAAGGTTTTTTTTTCTGAGACCCAGTTAACCCTACTTCAGGTAACAGGCCGGTCAGGATAACTTCCCAGTCTTTCCGAGTGTTTCATTTTGATAGTCACCTAAAGCCCATTGCTTACCTCAAAGCCGAAAAAATGAGGATGTGAGGGGTAGGCCTTGAAAGGCCAAAGATCTCACAAAGGAGAACAGGTGTGATAAACATAATGCCAGCCTGTACATTTGGCAAGTGTGTCACTACTCCATTCAAAGAGGGAAAGTGGCCTTTACAAAGCAGCCAGGAAAAAAACCTCTGATTGTGTTGATTCCCCCATCCTATGTCCTATCCTGCTTTTCTTCCCTGAATCATAATTTCAAATACAACTGCAAAGCCATTACTTAAAAACAATGGCAGGAAACATAGCAACAAAGGGGATCTCTGGCACTGCGAGCAGAGGCCCTTTATCGATGTGCTGAGCAATGAGGCAGAAGAAAGTGTAGGGACTAAAATTCAGAGGACAGAGCAGTCCTTGTTATGGATTAAAACAGACGTGTGCACACGCACACAGAGAACCATGATGACAGAAGAGCAAAAGAGGAGCCAGGCTATGCTGAGTGAGGACTGGACACATTAAGAAGTGCAGGATAAGGATCAGTTGCATAAAGAGAAGGGTAGGCTGTGACTGGCTCTATTAGAGGCTGCTGGTGAGGTAATGAGGGCTCGCCAGTGAGTGAATCCTAGTGTCCTGATTGGATAGAAAGAGGTTGTGCATTTTTACCAGGAGGGAAGTAGAAAGAAGGACATGGAGTCATCGTTTTTGGCTGTCCAAGGGGACATTGTTCCTGGGGACCAAGCAATCCTAACATATGGTCCGATCCTGCATAGGATGAAAGGAAGCTTTTAACAGCTGCCTGATTGGAGGAGTGAAGTAGGCTGGATCAAAAGGTGGAATACCGGGGATTTAGCTCAGTGGCACCGCTCTGGCCTCACAAGCGCAAAGGACCCGAGTTTGATCCCCAGTACCAAAAAAAACACCAAAAAACAAACAAACACTACCAAAAAGGTGGAATATCACTGCCTCTGATTGTTCCTCTTCCTTTCAAGGAACTGCCTTGCTCCCTTCCAATCTCTCCACACCACCCTTCCCTTCTCAGGTCTGTTAGTATCATTAGAGTTGTTTCTGTGCCACCAAGTGAGATCCGATAACAAAAGCCTTTCTTGTGGCTTGTTTATAATGACACAGGCTTGGACATTTTATCCCTTCAACAAATATTTTCTGTGAGGCTACCTGTGAGGTAGGTACTGGGCCAGGGGACACAGCTGAGCAACACAAAACAGGTCCCAGCTCTTGTGGAGGAGCTTCTAGTCCTCAAGGCCAGGCAGGTTAAGGAGATGACTCAAGCAACCAAGTGGCCTGTCAGCAGATTCCACATGATGAAACCCGAAGGTGAGAGGCTGCAAACCCGTACTTAGGCAGAGGGGGCCAGGCAGATCAACTTAGGGCAGCCGAAGTGAGTTCCCCAAAACAATGAATGGAATGTAGATTTATGGGAAGGGCAGGTCTACGGCCCACCTATAACTTGTTATGTATTAGGAACCCTAACAAAGGGGATCTATGAAATATATTTTTATGTAACTGTTTATAACGCCTCATATGTTATGATGACAACTCCATTATTCAAGGAGTCACACTGCATCTTTTAATTCCTCCCAGATGTATAATTCACTACCAAAAGGTTGATCCTGTCATGTAGAGTATTTCAAATTGATTTGATCAGAAGAATCACTTAATGTACTTTTGAAAGTAACTCCCAGGCCTCTCCTCTGGAGAGCATAATTGAATAGGTTTGGAGTGGAATCCAGGACCCTGTGTTAGAACAGTTTTCATGATTCTTGTAAAAAAAAAAAAAAACAAAAAAAACCCAAAAGAGAAACAGTAGTATGTAACTTAAGAACCATGCAGCCGGTTGTCATTTTCCAAATGTTTTGGAACTGGTATTAGAATTGTAAGATTGATCAAATGGAAGGTAATTGGTTTCCGAGGTGATGGTTTCCTATGTGTACCAGGAATGAGCTTGCCTGAGGAATTTTTATTAAGAACGTGAAAAAGCAAAGATCAGTACAAGCCTCTCCGCTGGTATGAAGGGAGGGAAAACTAGTACTGACTGGTTAACAGCAAGTGTCATCACAAATGCCATCAGTTAATCTTACAAGTGAAATTCCTTGCCACCCCATATGGTGACATGATAGTGTAAGGCACGGTGTCCTCTCTGCACACTTTCTGAGCCCTCTCCCTGGCAGTTCACAAGCTTGAGGTGAAGTTTTGGCTGCTGAATTACCTCCTAAAGGAGAACTTCCCCAGGGCCACACAACTAGACTGGGACGGAGCTGGGGCCTTGGTCTTTTGTGCTTCTGATCCACCAAAGTTCTAAATATATAAAAATCCCAATTGGAGATAATGCAAATTATGTATAGGTACAAAAGACATAATGATTATCTTATCTAAATGGTGAAGAATTTAGGCCAGATGCCCCTGCTTCCTTAAGCAGATTGTTCATGGTGCAGTGTTACTTATCATGACTGCATATATGTTCTATTATAGTTATACCTTTTTTTAAATTATAGTTATACCTTTGAGTTTAAATTAGTATTCTGGTGTTAAAAGTACACATCCTGCCTCATTTTGAGAACATGAAGGAAGTGGAGCTCATAGGAACTTTTTTTTTGGTACCGGAGATCGAACTCGGGTCCTTGCGCCTGCACAGCAGGCGGCGAAACCACTGAGCTAAATCCCCGACCCTTAGGAACTACTTTTAAACAAATAGCTTGAACTTTACCTACACATGTACTATTTGTGCGATACTTTGGACAAATACATGTTTAAGATCACATGCAGGACCGGGAATTTAGCTCAGTGGTTCCGCTTCCTGCCTCTCAAGCACAAAGTCCCGAGTCCGATCCCCCGGTACCAAAACAAAACAAAGAAAAGATCACATGCAAATGAGACTACTGAAGGAGCACTGGTGAAGTGAAGCCTGTAATAAAAGATTTCATGGCGGGTGTGGGTGTGTGTGTGGGTGGGTGGGTGTGTGGGTGTGTGTATTTAGCTCAATGGTTCTGGCGCCTGCCTTGTAAACGCAAGGTCCCAAGTTCGATCCCCTGTACCACCACCCCCGACCCCCCCCCCCAAATTTCATTGGGCTGGGGATTTAGCTCAGTGGTTTCGGCGCCTGCTGTGCAAGCGCAAGGACCCAAGTTCGATCCCCGGTACCAAAAAAATAATAATAAAAATTTAAAAATAAAAGATTTCATTAAAAAGAAAGGACTGGCTTAATATATTAGTATTACCTAAGAGGAACACCATACTCACCCGCTTGGGATGGATTTAACAATGCCAGCATTGTAATTTTTTTCCAAGTTCGCTCCATATGAAATGGCAGTGGCAATTATTGTCTGAATAAAATAAAGAAGATGTAAAACAAACTCCACTGGGTTTGGGGGGGGGTGTTTTATGGTGCTGGGAATTAAACTAGGGCCTTATGTATGCTAGGCAAGCACTCTACCACTGAGCTCTCCTCCGCAATGAGAGCAGTGGTACAGCGGACCGAAAGCGTCCTCCTCCTCTTTGCTGGGAGCGGTGCTATGCCAATCCGGAAGCCTCCTACGAGCTGGGAGGAGCTGGGAGCGGCGGTACGCTTCGGTACGGCGGCCCAGAAGCCTCCGCCTACAGCCCTCAGCCCCAAACGTCACTGGTTTTAATAATGCCTGCTTGTCAACCTTATTAACACTGAATTGTCCAACTATATATTCTACTTACCACAATTACTTCTATAGGAATAGGGACTGGGATTTTGTGTTTAAATCGATCATTTAATTCCTTAACTGCCATACAAACGATGATGGTAAGTAATCCAGCAATGAAATCTGCAAGATTGGTATTGCCAATATTTTGGAAAATCTCAATCAGAGTCTGTAAAGAGAAAATAGTTTTATATACTTCTGTCTACACAGACTTGCACACACAAAGTCAATTCTTCATGAATCTTCCCACATGAAAAATCATATCCACATCAAACAACATGTAAGAGTTTAATGTAAAATCATGAAAATGTGTTGGCTAATACAGAGACTATTAAGCGTATGTAGTCCCTGCACTATACAATATGTATATAAAGCTACTACTGATGGCTTTCTTGGAGAAGTAAAACTATGAGTGATTTCTATATTCTTATTTTTGCTTCTCTGTATTTTTATAATAAAAATGAAGAACTTTTCAAAGAAAGAAGTCATAATATGTCGTCTTTTACTTCCAGGAAACTGTAGAAGTTTATATCATAAAATAGTTTTATAGATGCAATTAAAGTGGCCTTTCAGCATTTAAGTAGAGTGTTAATTGAAACTAAAACATGACAAACCAAAAAGTCCTAATCGTTTTTTGGTCTGGATTAGCCAGCATTTTAAGTAATGTCCTTCCCTATATCTGAATGATGCAGAAGAACTCATCAAATGTTTCATAGGTAGATAATGTAGATAGAAGGGCAGTGATTCATTATTTGTGGCAAAGAAAAACTATTGAATTAATATCTAGGCCAAGTACAAATCTTTAAATTAATTTGGTACCTAGTTCAAACTTAGTTCATGACTAAGTAATTATTTCCAAGTGGGCAGAGAAGCCAGCTCAAGAGGAACTAGTTTGTTTTGTAAATATGAAATTTCCAGGAATCAAGGGTGCTCTTCAAAGAAAAGCAGGGGGGGAAATCCCAGGGAAGAACACTGGTATCCTTGTTACAGTACAGTATTAACCTCTGTCCTGTATAAGTCATGACTTAAGAAGGTATCCTGCAATTCTTTGAGATAAGTGATCTCCCAGGGAAGGTTGCTTTTCTTAAAATAAAGGACTAGAGCCATCTTATAGTTTATAACACGTATCGAGTTTATTTTTAACAATAAGTAAAATCCTTAAAATAATCATAGTGATAATCTGGTAATAATTATATAACAAACATTAAGTAATCTAGGAGTCATTCCCAGGCAACCTTAATTCTCTGGAACACATTCAAAAGTAAGGGAATGGGGGAATATTGTGCAAGCAAAATGCATTCCCCCAACTGTCTGAACACTTAATTTATAGGAAGCCTCTTGGACTTTTACTCAAAGTGTATTTTTGCTCTTACTTTAAACCCAGTACTAGCAAGTTAACTTCATCAGTTTTCTAGTCACTGACAATTGTTACAAGCAGCTACACTGACAGAAACAAGATGAAAAAGATGACAGCCAGGTGAAAAAGAAAATAGAAAACTGCCACAAGCAGGCACATAGCAAGCAGTTAGGGCTTCTAACCCAGGAGCACACAACCCTACTACCTATCTCAGAGGGTTGAAAGTTGCCAATTCTTTTGGGCCCCGTCACATACAATGTCGGGCACATAGAAAGAACTTGGTTTACGTTATTCTTTTCATTATCATGAATGAATACCCCTCAGGAGCTTACTATTTACTTCCCAGAGACCCACCACATGTTAACACTGGCATTTTTTTATTCAACGTTATTTTAGTCATTATTGCTTTTCCCTCTTACCAAGTCCTCGGTTCATTTTGAGGTCTTCAGACTTCCTTATTCCCACAGGGGTGGTCATTTTTGTAGCCTCTAACACATCTTGTTTTTACTTGTGAGCATACTTTCTCCATCAATTATTCATTTATTCTTTCATTTCCATTCACTAGGTTCACCTACTTGACAAATACTTATTGAATAGCTACTAATGTGCCAGCACTGTGTTCTCCCTATTCAACCCCCTCAGCACATTCCTTACTGAGTGTGCTCACCCCCTTGTGCAAACATTGCCAGTTCTGCAGCTACCCAGATATAGGAGGTCTGGGCCCACACTTGATCTGGAACTCCAGCCATTGCTGGACCTCTGCAGAACAAGGGAAATAGTTCTTCTGGTCTCCTAGGACTGTGTTTAAGAAAAAAATGTGCTCCAAATGATCCAAATTTGACAGGGACAAAAGAGACCAGGAACCCCCAAATCAAGTCAAAAAATAGTTTTTAAACCAATCATTAGGCGATTTATTTCCTGTTGAATGCTATTCTTCAGGTCTCCATTTAGCATGTGCCATAGACTTTTTTAGTGGACTTAATTTTCTTAGAGAAGTTTTAGACTCATGGGAAAATTGGGCAGAAAGTATAGAGTTCCCATGTCTGTTGTCCCCACCCCAAGATTCCACCACTATCAACACCCTGTATTGTACCAGAGTGGTATTTGTCATAATTGATGAACCTACTGTCCTACAATTTTGCAAGAAATTCCTCACAAGCTAGCCAAGTTCCATAAAGGTATTTCAATTATCCCTAAATGGTAGTAAATATAAACTTCCTGTTCTGAAAAGAAAGAATGGGCATGTCTGTAAATGATTGCATAAGGGTTCAAAGAGCCAGTTGGTCCCTGAAAGAGTTTTGTGTATGCCATTACTATTGCAATCATTTATGAAAGAATCCTTCAGTAAATGAGATTAGTGGTAAACTCCTCCAAGAAAGATTGTAAAATATTTTTCTGGAATGTGGTTAACTTACTACAACATCATTTACAACTTATAACATTATTTTTGTTGTAAGGCTGTACTTTGGTTTGTCCTAACCCCTTCCCCCAAAGAAGTACAGATGAATGGAAGTAATGAATATTGTAGGAGAAACTACAGTATTAGGAGTGAAAGAAAAAAACTGTAATTCACAAATGGCAAAGATACAGAATAATGTAATAAATAATTATTATATAAATACATAATTATATAATATATAATATAATGTAATATAATATAATATAATATACAGAAGAAAGAATGACAGGATGTTGGCAGCAATTTAAAATTAATACTGTAAGGGGCCGGGGATTTAGCTCAGTGGTTCCACCGCCTGCCTCACAAGGGCAAGGTCTGGAGTTCGATCCCCGGTACCAAAAAAAAAAAAAAAAACAGGTAAAATTAATACTGTAATACTCTGGATGCTACCGTATAGTGCTCAATTATTTAAGTAAATCCCACAGTTCTCTTAATAGTGATTGTTTTCCTGCAGTTCACTTTAGTGGTTTGTCTCAATAGACAAGGGGAGCCCTCTCTGCTTGCTTTCTAAACTGACGCAGCCTGTACCATTTCTTCTCCTAATGAACAGAACTACTACACTGAAAAGTTCTGCCCAAAAATGAGAGTTTTGAAGCTTAGCTTGATCAGACTTATAACTTTGAACTTAGTTCAGTAAGTTATATTTATATCATAATAAAATACCAGTTTAGAGGGCAGTCTATATATACATAACATATCTGATATCAGGAAATGCCTAATAACAAGAGGTGATTATGAGGGTTTGTTATCTTTGTGGAGATAAGATAAACTAAAATAAACTCAGCTCCAAAAGCTAACCAGTACTCTTCCTTATATATGAGGTACGCTTGAAAAATACAGTGGATGTTTAAACTTTTTAAAAAATTACATTAAAAGGTACATTGGCACTAATCCCCCTCAAAATATTCCCACTCACTTCGAACACACTATCCCATCGTTCTTGCCCTTCTTTCTTTCTTTCTTTCTTTCTTTCTTTCTTTCTTTTTTTTTCTTTGAGACAGGGTCTCACTTTGTAGTTCATGCTGGCCTTGAACTCACTATGTAGTCCAGGCTGGCCTCAAACTTGCCACATCTTGCCTCAGCCTCCCAAATGCTGGGATTACAAGCATGTGCCATCACACCCAGCATCTTGCCATTTTCTAAAGCAGTTCTGGAAATCCTCTTTTATGAATGTCATTAGTTGTGCTATTGTGGCTGCCTTGATGTCCTGCATTGACTTAATTTTTTTTTCTTCTTCTTCTCTTTTTTGGTACCGGGGATCGAACTTGAGTCCTTGCGCTTGCAAGGCAGGTGGTGGAACCACTGAGCTAAATCCCTGGCCCTTGATTTAATACTTTTACCTTTCATGGTCATTTTGATTTTGGGGAAGAGCTAGAAGTCACATGGTGCCAGATCTGGTGAATATGGTGGATGAGGACACACCATAATGTTTTTATGAGCCTGCCCCTAGGTTGGATGGCACTCGGCAGCAGCATTCACTGTATTTTTGGTCACACCTCCTAAAGAGATTCATGAAAGGGATATTCAGAACTGCTTCTAGAAATGGCAAGAATGACGGGGATAAGTGTGTTCAAAGGAAGGGGGAGTATTTGGGGGGGGATTAACGGTGATATGTCTTTTACTGTAATGATTTTTCATTTAAATATTCACCATATATTTTGACCACACTTTGTAAAATGCTGGGCACAACTTTTTCTTATGGCTTCATATACTCAGGTAATGCTGGGCAAGAATGATTATCTAAGACATACAGATAGATGATAAAGCAAGTGTAGTAAAAGGTAAATGGTAAAGTCTAGATAATGGGTATAGAGATGTTTACTGAAAAATTCTTTAAACTTTGCTACTTGCTTGAAAGTGGTTATAATAAGACACTAGAGAAGAATAATTATCTAAATGAAATGGTTGGGAAATTCTCCCAACATGATAGAAAATATAGTAAAATATTACTCATTACTGAAAACTTCATTATCATGAGTTGAACTACGTTTAGAATACTAAACTGTAATACAGAATCATGTTATTTATGTTTTAGTATTTTGATAGTATATTAAATTAGAATTACTCTTCAGTGTATTCTTAGAGTCTCACCTATCTTTGAGTACAATGTATTTCAGTTTATATAGTTGAGTTTTGTTTCTATATACATTAAATCTTCTACATAGAAATTTTCATAAGAAATCTTGAAAGATTATTCAGTACACAGACAACTAATACATGTATTCATATGTATTGTTTTTTTGTTTTTTGGTACTGGGGATGGAACTCGGGACCTTCCTCTTGCGAGGCAGGTGCCGAAACCACTGAGCTAAATCCCCGGCCCCCTCATATATATTGTTTAATGCAATGTATTATTTAATCCAATTGTCTAATGTAGCATAAACTAATTTTTTTGCAGTTCATACTACCTTTTTAATACACCAGAGGTGCTTTTTATTCAAAGATCTAAGTGACTGTCATAGATTAAATGGGACTCCTGTAGCGATTATGTAAGGTGAAAACGTGTTTTTTATGATTAGGATTAGTTCAAATGTCTTTTAAGTCTTGATTTTTTTCCATCTTGAGCTGGAAAGTAACCCTTTACTTAATCAAAATATTATACCTAGCTCATAAATTGTGCCCTACTATGTGCCCCAATTGTGATTTACATGAATTTTCTCTTTTTAATCCTCACAACTCTAAGAAGTAGCCACTACTATTAACCCTATTTTACAATTGAGGACATAAAGGCTTACGGGTGTTGACTGTAACATGCCTATGGTCACAAGGTGGTGGGTGCTGGAACCAAGACTCTATCTTGAGTCTGTTGAAGTTAAAAATCAGCCCATATCTTAATCACCATGTTATTGTCATCCTCTATTTCCACTGCTTAGAGTAGTATCTGGCCTGCAGTAGGCACACAGCCATATTTATTGACTGGATGGAGTAATGTGGGCTTATGCCACTGTTACAAAATTGAGCAAATTTCTGACAAGCTTACTCTTTAATATGTATGCATGGCCTTACATTGTTTTAGAAGCTAATAGGTGGGTAAAAGACTCAAACTCCATTTTTTTTTTTTTTGGTACCGGGGATCGAACTTGGGTCCTTGTACTTGCGAGGCAAGTGGCAGAACCACTGAGCTAAATCCCCGGCCCTCAAACTCCATTCTTGCTCTTTTTTTTCTTTCTTTCTTTTTTTTTTTTGTACCAGGGATTGAACTCAGGACCTTGTGGTTGCAACACAGGCAGCGGCACCACTGAGCTAAATCCCCAGCCCCATCAAACTCCATTCTTAATGGGTTTTTTGTTTTGTGTTGTTGTTGTTGTTTTTGGTTTTTTGAGACAGGGTCTTGCTATGTAGTCCAGACCGGCCTTAAACTCACTACATAGCCCAGGCTGGCCTCAAACTCGCAGCAATCTTCCTGCCTCAGCCTCCTTAGTGCTGAGATTACAGATGTGCACCACCACACCCAGCAGGTGTATTATTTTTTCATAGTATCATTCCCCCTAAGCTAAAGCAACATCATGTTTCTATTATTACCATTATTCAAGCATCAGTAACACACTTCATATAGAACATATTTAGATCCAAGAACTCCTTCAAATCAAATTAGTGTGATCTATAGCCTTCTTCTGCATCTCTTTTGCATGTTGAATCACCTCTGAATCTACTGTTCCTCTTCATTTATAATTGCAGAGACATGTACATTATATATTTTGTGTACTTTTATAATTAGAAAGGGCTTGAGAACTACACTTCCAGTCATTTCATTTTAAAAACAAGAAAGATAAAAGGCCTAAAATAATAATTTCAAACAATAACTTCTTTAATACTTGCTATGCCAGCCCCTGGATGGAGAGCTTCTCATCTGTTCTTAGTTTAACAATTCCACTGAAGTACATGCTATTAGCATCTACTAACCCACTCTGCAGAGTAGAAAACTGAGGCATAGTGATTTACTCAGACAGCTAGAAAATAGTACAGTCATAATTTGAGTCTAGGTCCACTCAACTCTAAACCTGAATTTCCAGCTATTGCCCTACACTAGAATGTGTCCAAGGTCATTTAGCTGATCAGGGCAAAGCCAAGACTATGGCCAAGTCTGTTGCATCCCAGACTGTCTTTACACCACTACACCACTTTGTTTTCATTCATTTGTTTAAAGTGCAGTAACATTTCTGAAACCATTTTGACTAGCTGAGGACATTGATTTCCAAAATCTGCCTTCTTCGATGTTACTCCGGATTCTATTGCTTCTTTTAGAGAAGAATGCTTTCATTGGCTCTCAAAATGTGCCTGGGGAACACAGATTCTCCAGGCTCAAGCTTAAGAGAGAAAAAGCACTGCCCCATCCCTGGACTAAGAAGCAACACTCACATAGATAATGGAGAGGACTCCATTGTAGTTTTTGGTTGAAACGTTGAGGACAATCTTTAGCTGTGAGACCAGCACTTGGAAGGCAGCAGCTGTTGTGAATCCACCAACCAAAGGATCTGCCAAGTACCTCACTATGAATCCAATCTGCAGACTTCCAAATACAAGCTAGGATAAGAAGGAGGGAGGAAAAAGAATAAATTTTTGGCTGAGAGAAAAGCCAACTCTGGAAATATTAATGAATTAAGCTTAATACCAATTAAAGCACTAATAGCTGGCTTGCAGTGCAAAAACACTTGGAAAAAAAATCTGTATTTCTTAATGTCCTCCCTCTTCCCTCCTCTCTACCACTTTAAAATTTAAAAGCAAAAATTGTATCACTTATTTCTGTGACTTCCCTTCTTTCAGCCTCAGTTGAATCATTCTTGTTGTTCTGCCTTTTTTCTCTCTCTGACTTCTTTGATGACAAGTGAACCTAGACATGTGAGGTCCTGCAGACTCTTTTGGTATCTGATCTAAAACAATCTAAGTTGGAAAATAACTGAAGTCCAGGAAATTAATTTGTTTTGCTTTCATGTAAACGTTCAAGTCTGCAGGTTTTAAAATTAATTATTTCAAATAAAAATCACACCGATCTATATTTTATGTATAAGTCTATTACCTGTATAATTCCAACCAAAAGCGTAAGAGTGCTTGCAATTAGTACTCTTGCTGCATCTCTGGCCTCAGTGTTTACGGTGTTTAGCATGGTTGTATTCAGTGCACTTCCATTACTGCTGGGAGTGATAAAGCGTTCGTCGGGGGCCATGCTTAGAACAACAGATCCCACCATTAAACTGACCACAGGGAAAGGTCCTGAGGGAAAGAACCAGTTCATCAATTATTCCTATTCTCTATATGACCCATATGTGCACAAGGAAAGGAAGTAGAGGTGGGTGTTGTCAGCAAAGGTTTCCCAGCAGAGACAGCATGTAAATTGAACTCTTATTCGTTCCACCTAATTTTTATTCTATACAATCTCATTCATTTCCTAGAGCATCTGATATCCTGTTCACTGGGTCTAAGTAGCTTGATTGGTACCATAGGGTCCAAATTAGCAAAGGGAGTGTGTAATTTCTCTCTCTCTCTTTTTTTTTTTTTGGTACCAGGGATCGAACTCGGGCCCTTGCGCTTGGGAAGCAGGGAGCGGAACCACTGAGCTAAATCCCCAGCCCCTCTCTTTTTCTCTTTGCAAGGCAAACAACTGGTTCATGTCAAATGCCAGACTCTAAGGTCTATGCTTTTAAAAGTTCTAAATTCTTTCAGCAATTGCTCCATCCACTACTGATGTTTTTACCCATGATGATGATGGTGATCCTATCCTTTGATCATGGAAGGGTTTATGGTCAGGAAGACTCAGTACCTACTAATCTGGAATGTTTACATGTAGAGAACACCAAAGAGAAAAATCGGCTACTACATTGCTTGCCTAGTTAAGCATTTGATATTAACTGGTCTCTAGGATGAGGAGGCTCTTTCTTTCAATAACCCCTTTCTGATCTCCTACATACAAGGCCAGAGAGCTAAATACTGGGACGATACAGTGAGGCAGAGGGACGTGGACTAAGGGAGAGTGAATGATTGTATTTGTTTTAAGATCATCCAGGTAGACATGTCTAGTTAAAAAATAGATGTAGGATAAATGTCTGGTATAAATGTCAAAATGGCACAAAATAGCATTAAAACATTCATTTAGTAGCACCATTAGCAAAAGAGGACTTAAAATTTAGGAATGGTAGGAAAACCTATTTTTTTGAGCCATGCTAAGAGGCCACACTTGGTTTCTAAATTGTTTCGGCAAGATTTTTCCATTTTTCAAATATTAGTGACTTAAGTATATACCCTTAGCCAAGATTACATAGGTGTAATCCTAGTTACTTCAGAGGCAGGGGGACAGGAGTACAAGTTCAAGGCCAGCCTGGGTGACCTAGCAAGACCTTGTCTGAAAATAAAAATAAAAAAGGGCTGGGGATGTACCTCAGTGGTAGAGCACACATGGATTTGATCTCCAGTAACACACACACACACACACACACACACACA